CCAGGCTCTCATGGTGTTGCGTTACTTTCCCACAGCCGAGTCTCTTCCTTCGTGTGCAATTCTTTTGCAGGCTGCACGGCGCACGCCCACCGTGCACCTGCACGAGCCCTTTACGTGTGCACGGATCCTTTACGTGTGTACGTACGCGCACCGACGCGCCGGCCAACAGTACACGAATATAAGGGGGCTCGTGTGGGTTTCGAGACGAAAACGCGGCAGACAGAGAAGGTGGAAGAGAATGAAAGAACGGGAGAAGCACGCATCTCACCTTGCAAGGCGAACCTGTTCGCCTGTATCGAAACCGAATATCGTCTTAAACCGAGTGTTACGACCTGAAAATATTAGCCCCGAGGATCTTTAAATTTTAGGTTACGGGACTGTGGCGGAAACGGGCCGACAAAGCGCCGGTATCGGTATACGGTTCGACGCGAAGTTTGATTTTGACGAGACAATTGCAGTCCCTTTCGAAGAGGAATGTTGAAAAAGAACGAGACAGTGTCGATAAAGAATTATTAAGCATCGTGGAAAAATTCTATATACACCTTATATATAGCGTGATCCGTAAATATATCGTATATATTTGTTTTTTTTTCTGAAAATTAAATAAGACAACGAGTTTTACTTCGGTTCGTAACCTGTTAACACGGAAAGGGTAATTGTGTCGAATTGAGAGAGAAAAAGAAGAGAATGGGATTTAGTGTCAATCCATCGTCGTGGCATCGTTCAGCTTCCGGTCTGCGTGACGGGACTGATTTCCGGGACCGTTCCGTGCTGCATGCATTCAGAGGGACCCCAACATCGAGTGGTCTCTTTCCCCATGGCCATCGTCCAGTTCCTCTCGTTTCCCATGGGTGTTGTTTTCGTCTGTAACTGTACACTAAATTCGATAACACTGTGCTGTTTGTTCAAAGATGTTGTTAAACACTGTGTTGTTTGTTCAAAGATATTGTTAAACATGGTCCTCGAGATAATTCAAGATTAGATAGATTAAATAAGACCGATTGCTAATAAAATATTATCGATCGATAATTTGTCCACTCGTTGAAAATTGGATAGGTTTTTATAAATTACTTAACGCGAAATTTTTTCCAAGTGACACGAACGAGACAATTATCCTGTCAAAAATAGTACAATTGTAACGATAATTCGAATAAACACTTTATCAGAGATAGAGCGAACAAACAAAACGGTAGAGAAATTTTGCGCTGAACAAACACGAATAAAATCATTAAATAAATATATTTACGAGATAAAATATGTGTCACAGTCGAAGTTACTGGTTTCTTATTACGACGATCTACTTTAGCGAGTGGAAATTCTTAGAAGTAAGTGTGCCCTATGCGCGATACGAATGTGCTGTAATGCGAGCATCCTTTAGATGCAAGTAGCGCAAGAAAACCAGAGTAACGGAGTCCAAAAAATTTTAAGTGGATCGAGAGAAGCATATCTCTCGATTGCATATCCCGCGGCATTCGCTGTAACAAGATTCGCCGACGGCATCTAGTCCACGAGATAGTTCTTCGATGAGTTCTTCATTCCCATGAGTGTTGCTTTCATCGTTGAGGCGACTCGAAACCGTTTAAGCCTGTCGTTTCTTTCAGACCCACTTCATTAAATGTGTCAGATATCGCTAAAAACGATAAAAATTACATTTTCAATTGGGATTTGATTGATCTCGCGTTGAAGCATCCGTAAGAATGAATTAGAACGCCTATCGATTTTCGAGTATGAGAATATCCCATGAGGAAAATTGGTTATCGTAATAATTCAGAAAGCAAAAATCGATCAGCTTTTTCTTATTCTCAAAACTATTCTCAATTTATAGCCGGGAAAAGGAAAAGGAAAAGGAAAAGTCATCGAGGGCAGGCGAAACTAGACCAGTCATACTCCAGGTGTTAAATCTCGCTCGATAATAACCAATTTCCGCTTCTTTCTCGAAAACGTGTCAGATGTCAAAAAAATATCTAACACCTCCTTGGGCGAATTGGGCCAAGCGAAAGCATTTGAATTTATAACAAAGGGAAACGTACAGTCATTGTAACATCGAAATTATTCAGAATATTTGCAAGTAATCTCGAAGAGAGCTCGAAAGTTACGTCACGCGCGTTTAATTAACGACGAAAGTAATTATTCTTTCTATATACGCGTTATATAATGGATTAATTGGTTTCGAGTGTGGGGGATCGGTAATTCGGGAGTGGTTACGCAGCAACACCTACTTGCGTTCTGATGATCGACTTACTTACTTACATTACACGGTTCGTCAACTTCCTTCGAACGAGGTTGACACGGAGAGGCGACGAACGTCATTGCACGCGATAAAGAGAAACCCCAAACGGATCGGGAAGTAAAATTATCCTCGACAGTTCAAGCGCATCGGTAAAAGCAATTTTTTTTATTCCCTCTTTGTTTATTCTTCTCTCCCTTCTCTAATATATAATAGATAATAAGTCGTATCAAAACGATGGGATTTAATCTTCGACTTCCTGTTATATATTGCGTATAGGAAGAAATTCGAGGCGCATCTCACGTTCGACAAATACGATTGATAATTCTACGACCGAGGCATACGCTCATGTTCCATTGTTAAAATACTTTTTATCTTAAACGTACGTCACGTTTACGCCGCTGTAGCCTCGTTGAATATCGTATGACGAGTAAGTTATGACTAAGAGGCCGGCGGGTATGTCATAGGGTAAACAATTCTGGTCGCCCACTGACAAACATCCACTGACAATAGACGCCGCGAGGGAATAAATCGTCTTTCAACCGCGGATCTATCGTAACCGGAGAATCGGGACGTATATCATCCTGTCGTTCGCGGATCCATGCGAGTCTCGTTCGTTATGCTCTACACCTTCAACCGGTGATCGTAGAATATATAGAATATAAGATTCAGAAGAAGTTGGATGGAACTTCTGAAACGAAAAACGTCCGTGAAAAGTTCAAAGTTCACGCGAAGTTGTAATTAATGGCTGTACTCGTACGATGGAAGTAACATTGCTCAGCCACGATACAAGCCACTTTGCCAATGCCAATAAATTCTCTTGCATAACAGCAAGCAGCTTGGTAATAAAACAAATTTTACAAAGCCCGGGTCATCTCATAATCCTATTTAAAATGAAATTGCAATATCGAAGAAAGAGAAATTCGTATCCTAATGTTAATGAAATATTAAATATCGGTAAGTAATTTTTAATTTTTTAACAATTTTCGAAAGATCGACAGAATTTGAGGCGAGACTCAAAATAAATTATTAGCGATTATACAGGCTACGTATAAAAGAAAAATGTAGTTCGCTCAAAGCTTCGTCGATTTTTATTTTCGTCGTCACGGTTAGATAGGTTAAGTTCCGCCGGAAGTGGAAGCGATTTAAGTATTGCCGGAAATACAGGGCATACGCCGTGGAATAGAATCGAACGGGCATTGTTCGTCGCGAAATCGCGTGTACACCCGGAAGTGGGGGCTCGTTTCCGGAAGAAGGTGAAAATGGCTGACAAGATCGCGACTCTAATGAGACGGAAAGTGATATTCCCTCCGAGTTCGAAACGAATCGTGCGTCAAACCGCTTCTAATTTCTAACTGTGTCACGTTCAGATTGATAATTACAATCGAGATCTAAATCGTAGGAGAGACGAGGAGATTCGCGTTGTCGCTAGAATTATTAGATTCTGTCACGAAAGATATACGAGCTGTTCCTCGAAAGACGTCCATTATTTCCGTGTGACGTTCATTTCCTCTTTCATCAGGATGCTTTCACGTGTAATCATGCTAAAGTGGCTTCATTACGTGGAAACGGTGGAGTGATGATTCGCCGTGTTTGCGTGTGTTTGCAAGGGTGGAAAGGTGCAATAGACCGCGCCTTGCCAAGGGTGCGGCCCTACCAAGGGTGTGGTGTTTGATACTCGATTGTGGCACACGCCTGCTTTATCTTTTATTCCTATTTTATAAATGTATCTTGCATATAATTAACTCTGTTTATATCCTTTAAATAATTTTTAATTATTTCGACAATACATTTGACGATCTTTAATAAACTTCCATTCCGATTCTTGTTATTCCACGCTATTCCACTACGCGATGATATACCGCTAACAAGCCACAATTTAATACCGTTATCCGTGAACTAAAAATCGAGGAATGAATTCGCAAGGAACAATGTCAATTACTGAAAATTGTCTAAATTCCACCACCCAAGTGTTTTATTACGCACGCAACTGCCTTCCTTGCACAACGTTTCGCATACACAGGATCTTGCTGCGTCAACTATCGTGCACGTTACTTCTCACGTACACGTGGTCTCTCCTCGCGTATAGTTGCGTACACGCACCGGCTATGAATTTTATTCTTTTCAAATCAGCAGGAATGTCGGAAACCACACAAGACTGCATTCGGACATATGCAAGATGCGATTAATTAACGTCGATAGCCAGATGCCGTTACTTCGTGCACCACGGCGTTTACGAAAAAGTCGTGAAATTATACGGAACGTTGAACAGGAATTATTATTATTATTATTATATTTAGTTATTGTTCCCCCAAGGAAATTTTGTAAAGCCATAGTTGGACAATGGACACTCGTTACTCGCATGAAAATACCCGTGAATATTTATCGAGTCGCGCGTTTTGTCACGTATTCTTGGCATTGGCTACTACAAGATTCGACGGTATCTCAGATATACTAATAATACGGCAATAGTCAATAAATCACGGTTCATTTGTTGATCTTTGATCAAAGCGTGGCTCGTGCAATCCAACGATAATTGTATACGATAAAGTGACGATGAGTAAATACGGTGCAGATCCACGGTTCTTGCATGGAAAGACCGTGAATCTGCAGCATCTATCATTTAGACGGAAGATGGAAAAGCGAATAATTATATATGTGAATCATATCGTTTTAATAATGTTTTCTAACATTTATTTATTCATTGGTCAAGCGTACGTGACACAGATTTCTCGAAGAACGATATTTTATCGAGCATATGAGGCACAATTCTGTAGAATGTACGATAAGGGCATCGAGGGATTTCCGGCAATAAGTCGGTAAAAGATAATTCTTTTTTGAAAATCGAACTTCCGCGGTATGAGTTGGAGAAACGGGTGATTGGCTCGAGGTCAAGTTGCAACGATGTCTTCCTGTGATTCACGATCAGAGAGATCGCGTGCAACTTGAAACTCACGTGAAACGAATCGAACTCGAATCAATTACGATCCATTAGCACGAAAGTTTCTTATAATATAAGGTTTGTAGTAAAAAATATAGTATCAGGCTATAATAATGCTTGGAATATTTTTTTTTACGAATGATAATATAATCTGGATAATTTAAATCGTATAAGCTCTGTAATCAAGTAGCGAAATAACTTTCAATTGGAAATTTTTAAATATCGTATACGTGGGAAAATAGTTTTATGGAATTAAGAAACAAGTGACATAAATCGTTAGAATTCTAATCGCGGTGAAACTTGTTCCTGAGCTCTGAGAATTTTAACCAGCTAACTAATTTCAGGATATGATGAAGGTGCGATCGAGTTTTCACCACGCGGTGTTACGCATTTCCGGTGCAGTATGCGACCGTTCGTACGATACTTTCGTTGCTTAAGAATTTCATATTTCCGGCACAAATTCGCCATTTTTCCCTCTCCTTGTCATAATGAAATCATCCACACAGCTCTCGCTACGTAACAAATTTATTTTCTCCGCAGAAACGGAATTCGCTACGGGAAATTTTAGAATAAATATTATATTATAATTACGATTAATTATCACTGATTAATTTATGAGACGACCTAGTATAAGACGGAAAATCTGGGAACCCGAAACCCGAACAGACCGTTTCGACATCCATACCTTGGAACTGGTAGCGCGTGACCATCTCGTGTGATCTCGTGCGAACCAAGACGTGATCTCATCGAATTCTGGTCCCAAATGTTTAACTTTTTAATTTTTTTCTCAACCGTGCTCCTTCGTTAATTAATAATAATCAAATTTCGTGCAACGAGAGTCTTGCATCCTCCTTTCAAACTCAATTGATCCAGAAAGGCTTCGTTCGTATTCTCATAGCAACCGTACACTTTCCATTCGCACAGATACCAATTATTCATCTCAAAGGCAGAAAGCGTAATCGTATCCTCATTACAAGATCCTAAAAAGGCGAACGAACGCAATCCATCCATCACAGTGCAAGAAATTCGTTCATCGTGCAATTGCAACTCTTCTTTTAGATTCAATGGTTAAAATATTAATTGGAACTTCCTTCGTGGATAATTAAGGACGTCGGTGAATTAAATTGGTCGTTTCAACGGTACTCGAAAAATTATTTTGAACGTGTCCCTGGACGAGTAGCGTAGCATCTGACGCGAAATAACGTGGGAAGCGTCCTTCGCGTATAACGGCCTTCCTGAATCGCGTGACGCAGGCAAATTAACCGTTCGTTACACATATTCGCAACTTCCACGGTTATGGACAAACGAATTCGTCTTGTTTCCATTAGTTTCTAGTTCCATTTTCCAGCGGTGTGGTTCTCTTATCCTCTTGCTTTCGAGATCACGCAAGCTTCGCCATTTCTTTCGGCCCGTTTCCGAGAGTTTCCTTTATTGTTTCACTTTCACTTTTTCTTTCCTTATCGTTCGAGGAACGCTTAACCGGATATTCCATAAAGTATAATTAGTTACTTATCGATTAAACGTTTTAAAATTCATAGACCTCCTCTTGCTTTCAAGATCGCGAAAGCCTGGCTACGGTCGTCGTTCTTTAACTCTGAGAAAGGAAAGCGATTGCCTTCTCCGTCTTTCTTCGTCTCTCCTTCTTTAGGACGACCTATTGTTTCCCCAGAAGATGGATGGGAACCGCGAATGTGCCGCGATTATTTTCTCGGTTTTAACTCACAGCATTCGAGGATAAAGATGCGTTTATGGCGATAGAAAGTAACCTGACACGGAGTTAAGTACCTTTTATGACTCAAACATCTTCGCGTGAGAGCTTCTACTAAAATCGATTGATCGACTAATTTCTTATAATTATGCGTAAAAAAAAAATTAATTTTAATTGTCAATACATGAGCAAGAATGGGTTATTGCTTCTAAAGAGTTAAGATCTTCGATTTTAATTAAGTTACCGTGAATTTCAATGTTGTTAGGTAAATATTCTTTATCTATCGAAACAGTTTCACGCGAAGAAACAACGAGTCATAATTTGCATTGCTAATGAAACTCGTAAAGTCTCGTGCCACTTTCGATGAGTTTCGTATACCGCGTGAAAAAAGAATCTTACGTTCATGCTGACGTTAATTATCGTAAACATTCCACTCGTTCACTAGTTCTATGGGGAAGATCTTTAATAATTACACGTACGAATAATTACTCTCAACATTGTGTCGATAAATTTCTAGTTGCAGTTAGAACACGAGCAAGATCGATCGCGATCGCGATCGAAAGAAACTTAAGGACGACATCTCAATCACATCGGTCTGGCGTCCGTCTGAATTCCTGACAAGGTAGCAACCAAGAAGCAGCGTAATACCGTACGAAGCAATCTCGCATGCGACACAATCCACTCACACGTCGCTACGAAACGAGGCATACACGATGGAAACACGTGCAACTCACTTGCACACATGTTAAACGAGGGAACCGGCAAGACTTCCGTTGCTTGGGGCGTCGCATCGATACTAAAAGGTGTAGGAATTCGATTCGATGGCACAAAAAGGAACGGTGTAAGCTCGCATAAACGCGAACGAGGAAACGCATTGTCGGCACGGATAAAGAAAAAGGAAGAAAGTCGAACTCGAGGAAATTTGAATCGTGAACGAAATCTTACTTTCCTAATTGTCGACAAAAATCACACGGTCGCGCGCTTTCCTTTTTTAGAAAGCTAAAATCCCCTTTGTGCCGCGATAAATCAGCATATGTATACAATAAATCGGTAAACAGAAAGGATCTAATTATATCGCGGTTTAATTAAACCATTCCGATGCTGTATATCGGTCTTTCATCTTTTTCCGCGAAGAAATCATCTTTTCCGCCTAGTCACCGTACAACTGGAATCGAGAAACAACCTGTACATCTCTAAGCGCGAGCATTGTGCACAGCTTGCACACAGGTGTATCGTACACACTATTACCGTGTACACGCGCGCGTATACGCACGATCGGCATCGGTATAGAGGATGTAGTTAACCGAGCATTATAATATACAAGCGTCCACTGATACTACATCCATCCACCATTCTACAAACATAAATTCTGTCCTGAGTGCACGAGCATAGTGGGTGTCGTTTCTATTGTGCACCAAGACAAATGGACACGCGCGTGTAGGGGCGTACACGCATACGATCAGACGCGATTCTATTCTCGTGCATTCCGAGCCATGCGGGTAGCACAGGGCTGCACGTTTCCTGTGTTCGCTCACGACACAGCCAACCTCTCTTTACGCGTGCGTAAATGCGTAAGCGCGTGTACACGTGAACACATGTGCGATCTTGCGGCCGTAAACCGCGTGTTTATTGTCGCAGCGACGTGGCAGTACATGAGAACCCTGATGTCATATTGTACCGCGGTTCGACAGAAATGGATCGTGATCTGGTGTCAGTTTCTGTACTTCCGCTCGCGGCACACGCAATGAATCGCGTGTTTGAATATTTATTATAAATAATACGTATTTTTGTATTTTAATTATATCTAGCCTTGTTGTCTAATTACTAATCCTAGATCCTCTAATTATTATCTTTTTAATAGGTTTCGAATCGACTATGATTTTCTATCGTCAAAAAATCATGAGCCTTAAATTCTAATAATTTATTATTATAGTATTTATGAACGAGAGATTGGTTATTAAGAGACAGGCTAATGGAAAGACGGGATTCAAATACGTACTGTTACATCAGAGGCGATATCGATCGATCGATCAACCAGTATTAACCAATAATGTATAGCTGCGCAGGTGCTTGGAAAAACGTGGGTTTTGCCGTCTCGTGGGTGGCTCGAAGGCTAGAAATCTGTGATTTTTGTTCACCTTTCGAAAATATAAAGTTTTCGTTGAGTGTGAGGTCGCCTTCGCCCACGTTGTTGCGATTGGTGAACAGCTGCGATACACGACGAATGAAAAGTTGGTTCCTTTCCCGCGTAGGAAGACAACGAGACAGTGGTTACGGCAATACGTGCAAACTTGAGCCAATGATCGAACTTTGAAACAAAAAAGAGAAAACAAAATTAATTTCGTCTGTGGAATATATCCTGGAATATAGAAAAGATAAAACGGTTATTTTAATCATTAATCTGACAATCGTCACACGATTCGATTTTAATCGAGGAAGATGCATCGCGCCGAGAGGTTATGTGTCAATTGTTGCAAATTAATTGAGAACACGATGCGAGTGAACATACGTGATTAATTTCATTGCTTCTTTCATTCTCAGAATCCATCGATCACGTTGTCGGTGATCATGAACGCGATCTCGTGAACAAGGCGTCGATTATCCCAAATCTTTCAGACCAATGAAGTATCGATGACCGTTTTGTTACGTCAGCCAAGCACAAGAAGCCTTTTCAAGCAATTGTAACGCGTACTCTTAACGTGTAATAAATAATAAAAAAATCATGAACTATCTATTTTTTGATACTTGACTTGAGTGTATGCAAGAGATATTCCTGATTGATAGATAATACTCTATGCAAGAGATGTTATTGATAGATAATTTCTACGTGTCGATCATGGTAGATACAAAACGCAGACAGTGTATATTGGAATTACGTTACATTATTATGCGAGACACGATACCTGTGAATGCATGATGGCGCGCGAGACAGGATCCTGCATCTTTACCTGTCGACCTGTCCATTCTGTTCCTAGCCAGGTCCTGAAAAAACCTGTTTCGGCCACTACTGAATGCATTTGCTTCTGCTCTACCAACAACCAGTAGAGAGGGGGAATGATCTCGTGTTAAATTCCTACCTGTTTTCGATAAAGATATCTTCATTTAAATGCGCAAAGGGTGGCAGGGGAGACAGAAGGAGCCCATTTATGCGTCTTAAAGCAAACTGAAAACGATATCTATTAGTTTTTGTCTCTACGGAAAAATCTACTCTTTCTTTCGTAAAATATATCGATGAAAGTTGCATTCTTTAAAAGTATCAATGTAAATATAATCATCTTTGATAATAATAATTAACATCCTGTGGAAAAAGAATTGAATTTTATTATAATAAAAGAAAATGTATTACCTTTGTCAATGGATGAATTTTCATTTTGCACCGACCATAGCGCCAATTCAACTAAAAGGATAAGTCGTTATTTTGAATGCAGGAATCTTACTTTCCTTTACTGAAATCGGGTTTGTGGCGCCACATAGTGGAGGAAGATAATAACACAGGTTTCGTCTGGATGATTCGTAGCAGGGGAAAATGTCTCGTAGGTATCTGGTTTGACGAACCACGATGCGTGTGGGATACATGTGTGTGCGTATCGTGTGAATTTTCGCAGGTGGTGATTTTTCGTACGGAACGAATTATCCGAGATTTTGTGCCGGTGGACAAACGCTAGTCGAAGCAAGAAGACGTGAGTTTGAGGCGCCGTGATCGCGGGGCGTATCCCAAAATCGTGGGGGAAAAACGGCCCTGATTTTATCCAGTAAACTTCGTCGCGATATGTGTGTCGTGTTTTGTCGCATCTCATGAAAAAATTACGATTGTGAAAAAAAAAGAAACATATGTAAAGACGATTTGAAAAGGTTAGGCGAAGAAACAAGTCGAAGAAAATCGATTTGACATGACGACCACCAAGCTGATTCAGCTTGTTGAACGATGTCGAATTTCTTTGTAATGATTTTTTTGAAGTCTTATTTTTAAACAATATTGATATATAATTTTCGCACAATAATTAAAAAATCTTTTTCTCTTATCATCGATCGCTTTACTGTGAATCACTGCCAATGTGTAACTCGGCCGACGATTCTTACGTACAAAAGCTAGGTTATCTGCAACTCGGGGATGAACCCACTGACGCCGGCGGTGCATCGGGTACCGGTAGGGTCACGGGATCACGACCTGAGGCCCAGGTACCCGTGTCGAGAAATACCATAACAAGAACGGATACCAGAGTGTCTGGGAGACCAGTTGGTGCTATTGAAAGTTTTATTGAAAGTAATACTGATACTTGCAGACAATCAACAACTGATTACAAGTTATATGAACGTGAAAATATAATAGCTGCATCAAGATTTGCCACACCAAAACCTGTGGAACAAATCAGTGCTCAGCAACAACAAAATCAAAACCGTATGAGTCATCAACAAGCACCGGTATATGAAAATATTGACTACTATCCACAACAAAATCAACCTCATCCTCCTTATTATCATCCAGTGGAATCTAGAAAAAGTCCTAAAAGTAGTCCAAGAGGTTCATTAGCAAGTGAATCTTATGAACCCACTTTTAGAAAAGCACAACCACAAGTGCCTACTGGAAACCGATATCAATCTGCATCTCCAGCAAAAGAATTACCTCCATATGAAGCACCTCCCGTGTATGAAAATATTCAAGAAGTACATTTCCCAGATAATACACAAAATAAACCTGGTCCACAGGTTCCACCAAATTATTATCATCCAGCTACAATTAATGGTGGTGATTATGTTGTCATGACTGGTAAAGTAGGTCAAACACAAAATCAGAGAGGTATAACACAAAGTTTATCATATACACAACAAAGAGGAAGCAATATACGTGGTCAAAGTTATGATGGTTCAAGTTTACAACGATGTGTTGATTCCTCTACATCAAGGTACTTACAAGGATCTTCTTCATCTTTGGATCATCAGGCTGGTAGAAGTGCTTATGTTCCACCATCTGAATTACAAACACCAACCAGAAATTTTAATTATAATTCTGAACAGCAACAACATTCTCCCAGATCAGGGCTTCCTTACCACAGTGAATCTCCACCAATCCGTTTACCTCCAGAACCACATCATTATCGTGGCACTCTGGATAGTTCAATAAGTGGACAGCATGGGTTTAGAGCTTCAAATCATATAGAGAGTGTACAACAGCCGCAATATCGTCAGGATAGCCCTCAAAATTATAAACCGTACATAGAATCAAATACAAGAAGTACAAATGCAAATATTACAGGAGAAACTCAAGCTAGAAACTCACCTGTTTATGGTGTGAGGCAAGGAGAGCAATCTGCTTGCCGTAATTCTCCTTGTTACTCTCCAAACAGAGTGTTGCCACCAAATGAAAGAAATTATCATCATCAAGAATCTAGAGCAGATTTTCCTGCCAGAAATTCTCCAATTTATTCTTCTAACAGATCAACAGAGCATTTAAGATTAAGTAATTTACAAAATGACAGAAATTTTGTTCAGGAAGTACCTGAGCCTTCTGAAACATCAAAACCATCTCCTATGTATTCACCTAGCCGTAATGATAATTCCAGAATTGTAACTAATAACAATAATATAAGAGGTTCTCCAAAATCAAGTCCAACTCACAATCAAATATCATCTGATACAGTCGTACAAAACGTGATTAATTCACCAAGACACGTGTCACCATCTTCCACGAATAATATCGGAAGTCCTCTACGTGGTCAAATACAAACACCAGTGACTACTGGTACACCTACCACCGCAGAATCTGATCCAAATATTCATGGACCTAGAATTACCAGTCTCCCTCCAGGGGTGACCAGTGGTGTGGCCGGCCCTGTCTTTTTAAACGCTGGTGTACCTGTGTTACAAAGGCCATCCGAACCTGAACCGGAGGAAAGAAAGTCAGTCAGTCCACCAATGAAACCGACATCTGGCAAGGGATTACTACCCTACAATGTCATACCACCCAGACCTTCCGTAAGGAACTATAACATAAAAAAATTAATATATGAAACTTGTCTCCAATTTCTCCAATTAATATAATAATTTTCTAATAAATGTATTTTCTGCTTTTTTTCTTTGTAAAATCAGTCTACAATGTATCGCTACAACCATATTAATTGGGTTACGAGAACGCATCATTGCTTTCGATTTGTGTTGGCCGATTGCCAAGCATGCTGATCCATTTGCATACTGATTTAATATAAAAGCTATAGCAACTAACACTTTATTTATACGATATGCTTCGATGATTTTTTAGAAATTATTGTTGGAGAAAAAATAAAAAGATTGTACATTTTTTTGTCATTCTCATCCTGTTCAAGTTGTAAATAAGTTATAAAAAAGTTTGCGTTTCTTTTCATACTTAAACGATGACATCACGAATGTCAGTCGTTATCGCCAATATTTTACGTAATGACTGACCTATGTGACGATAAGATTAGCCGTCTGCCTAGATGGATATATTGTTTCAAACAATTTGAAAAATATTTCCTTTCATGATTTGCTAAAAAAATAAAATAAAAAAAAAAAAATTGGCATGAATTTCGAGGACTTTTGGCATCGTTCGAAAAGAAACGCGATATTTTACGATTCGTGACGAGTCCTTTCTTCGAACTCGCGCTGAATCACACATTGTAAATTGTCAGCTCCTGACAAACGCTGTATAGTTACCGTGTAATATTTTATTCATAGACTGTGTACGCATTCCCGCGATGCATGTAATATACCCTATGTATCGACTTTTCTCTTTTTGCCTCTTGAAACGTTGTTTGTAACAGTATGCAAATTTATGTGTCCCTATGACGAAATATCCTATCTCGATCTATGGCACCATTTGTCACCCGACCGATCACAACGCGGGATGTGATTTATTTCTTGCAGGGGCCCACCGAAGCGGAGAGAAAAATAGAAGAGTTGACGAGACAACTCGAGGAGGAGATGGAAAAACAAGAAGAGGAAGGGGAATACTTCGGTAAGAATCGAATACCAAAACAATCGTCGAACGTTCACAAAGATATTCCATCGATATCTTTAAATCTGTTGTTGGATCGAAACTTTCTCGTTGCATCATCTTTATTAGGAACAATATTCATTTATTCTTACCGATTATCGTGATCCGTTTTTCCAGCAATATTGATATAATATGTTTAAACAGATCAAAAATGCGATAATTTCGCATAATTCCATCATTAGGGGACTTAATTTCCGACACGTTCCGATCCATAATTTGCAGCCGATTCCAAGAAGGAATAAAAAACTAGCAGGGGTACCGTGCCAATTCCCACGGCGCAAGTTCCCTCCTTGGTTAGACCGGTTTCGGAAAATGGAGTCAAGTTTCAGTGTGTCGCGAAACTTTTTAACAGCGACGTTTCGTTGACATTCACTCTCTGCCCATTCGTTTCCACCTACGTGTCTTAGCACCTACATGAAGCACCGCAAGTGTGCGCGTTACATGCGTATGTAAGATGCACGCATACATATATCATTTCTCCCTTGTATTATACGTGAGTATCGATGCAACGTAAGGTGATGTTCACATTGGGCATTTTGCTCGACGTCTATTCTCTTTTGAAATCAATTATTCGATATTTCGATGAAAAATATTGCACGAATATAAAGATAGAACCTCCAAATAATAAGGGTGCAGAGATATCAATGAAGTAATCCTCTATATCATAATCGACGAAGAGATTTATAACATTATTTATTTAAAATTTCTCGAAATATTTTGTCACACGTTAAAAATAAAGTTTCACGATATATTTTCTTACTTTAATAATTTCGAAAAATTATACAATCGTGAAACACTTATCAATGTAGATAAACATGCATTCGATGCAAATTACTTTCGTCCATGTCTATATTCGGTTCCCTAACATTTTTTTTTTAAAACCAGTATTTTCAGAATTATTCATACACGATAGTGGTCTAGATTTTATTTGAACGTAGCTTAAACACGAGGCAAAGAGGAACTGAAAGATCCGCGCGAGTGGATAGGAACTTCAGTTGAGCGAGCCAATGTCGAGTCGAGAGGTAGCCTGGCGTTTAGGTTGAGCTTAGTTTGTGCTCCTCTTCGTTTTTGTGTACGAGTTACTATTCTTCGTGTAACGTCCTATACACGGCAAACAACCGTGGCCAGGTCGCGCTCGCCGCGGTAAGTAATCTCGTTATAGATAGACTAGTCCGACTCGTTGGCGGATTCTAGTTCGAGCGAGACTGGCCTAGTGAAACCGAACCATTGAATCGAAACTGCAAGTGTCACGAACGGTGAATGAGGGATAAAGGATTTCTGTGATGGGAATGGCAGGGCCGGTATTACCCATTGATAGTTGTAAGTGCGTTTCTTCCAACTAGTTCCTCTATATCGTACCATTAGCCTATGTTTCTGACAGTTATTGACCCTGAAGAGCGGATCTCATTGTCGAGTATCGATGGGGGTATTTTTAAACGCTGCCAATGCGACCGAACTATAGAGTTATGGTTGACAAGGCACTCGCACGATTCCAAAAATAGTTCAGGGGTTTATTGCCACGAAGAAAGTATTGTCATGTGGTTTTGACGCGATATCTGTAAAGAATACGTTGATATTTTCTGTCAGGTATCTGTCATACATGCGGTGAAAAAGTGACTGGAGCTGGCCAAGCCTGCCAAGCCATGGGCAACCTTTATCACACAAATTGCTTTATATGCTGTTCGTGTGGAAGAGCGTTACGCGGCAAAGCGTTCTATAATGTTCACGGAAGAGTATACTGCGAGGAAGATTATCTGGTACGTAAGACACTAATTGCGATGGACGCGTGATACGATGACATAGCTCATAGAACGTTTTGTCTGTAGTATTCTGGCTTCCAACAAACCGCCGAGAAATGCGCAATCTGCGGTCATCTCATCATGGAAATGGTAATTAAGTCGATGATGTTAAAGTGACTTACGTTGGTATTGTAATTAACCGAATATTCCCTTGTCCATAGATATTACAAGCAATGGGGAAGTCCTATCATCCAGGATGCTTTAGATGTTGCGTTTGCAACGAATGTCTTGATGGTGTTCCCTTCACCGTCGATGTGGACAATAAAATTTATTGCGTAAACGATTACCACAGAATGTTCGCGCCAAAATGTGCCTCCTGTGGTAAAGGAATTACTCCAGTCGAAGTAAGCAATTTCATTTTTATGTGATGTAATTTCTTCTATAAACAGACGTGATTTTGAATAATGGGAGGTCTTGCTTTTCAGGGCACAGAGGAGACCGTAAGAGTCGTTTCCATGGATAAAGATTTCCACGTAGATTGTTACGTTTGTGAAGATTGTGGCATGCAATTGACTGATGAACCGGACAAACGATGCTACCCACTCGATGGTAGACTTATGTGTCGTGCGTGCCACATCCAACGCATATCCCACACGCAACCCAGGGCACCACAGCCAGTATCAGCTAGTTATCAATTTATGGGATAAGTTAAGTTAAAAAGTTTTAAATTGAATGTTTAAAATTGAACTGCGCTCGCGTATCGATCATCCAATGATGAATATCGTAAGAACTGATTAAACAAACCGACCTATTAATAATATAAACCTTAAGTATGTCTATCAAAGTATAAAAAGTTTACAAGGTAGAAATTCATAGAAAACACAGATATTGATATTTATGCAATATGATTAATCTATATCTACAAAAATAATATAGCTTTATTGTTCCTCTATAACTTGAGATATTGACATAACCTAGCAAGACTGGATACAGAATTGAAATATTTAAGGCGAGTAGATACTTACAGACATTGTCTGCAAATGCTGCAATTTATATCGAGAATATATATCTGAGAATATATATCTAAAAACAATAGAGTCTTGTTGGATATATATGTAGATACAATAATTAATATAGTATGTACAAGAATGTTGCATGTATATGCAGATGATATCTATAAGCTTAAAACGCCTTCATACATACACTGCCTCTTGGGATCATTTAGATTTTATAATCAGGTCGATGTTTGATCTTTTTTAACAATATACGTGTATATCCTTGCGATCTACAAGAAACAATTTTCCATTGACAGCTATTAATATAAGTTATATTTAATATATGTGCTCTTATTTATTTTGTCTAAGGTACTGCGACAATGCAGTAATCTCGTTAGGATGAACGAGTTGCGCAGGCAACTGTGATATATTAGCATAATAATTACATCGTCGTTAAGCAATGATTCCTTATTTTAGCTCGTGTATATATGTGCACAATTTTATTGTCAGGTCGTTTTTTTCCTTTTTTACGATTAAGAATTTGGATTCGTATGATGATCTATAATAAATATGCTGTATTATTACCATATTCGATGTATCGCGTTTGCTAACAGTATTTATTACGACAATACATCATATATCAATTACTAGTATCAAAAATTTCATGCAATACTCTTTGACGTTTATGATTATTACTCAGGAATTTTAATGATACAATCATAATGTTATTGTTGGAAATTTATATAAATCTTAATATTTGAATCTAAGAATATTCGATGTATTAAAGGTGAATAATTTTAAGATACTACAACGCACAAAATGTGCTGCCAAAAAAAAGCTTCTCTATATCTGATTAATAAATATTTCTGCGTGTAGATAACATAGGCTGATGATAAGTTGCGTGTATTGTAGGTGAAAAGTACAATGTTATTTAAATGTATGCACGGTATGTAAGGTAAAAAAACATCCGTTCAATAAAGAAAGATATATCTGACCAGCCTTAGTTGATTTTTAAGATTTAAAGGTAAAGGAGTTATACATTATCTTTTGTATAATATTACATACAAGATTTTTCTTTTATCGTAACATCATAACGTTTACACATTTACAAGAATTAATATACATCCACCCGATCATCCAGGTTTTCAGATTATAAATTTTTATCCATTGATCAAACAGCTTCGTCTTATCTATTCGCTATGTTTTCGGAGGTTCCGTACTTCGTTCTATCGTTTTGAATCCTGCTTTTGTTGTTTTACTTGATTCTGCTGTCTACAACATAGGGTACATGTTACATATACGAAGAAATATAAAATTGGATATCCTAAATATAAAAATAGCGTAAAGTCTAAGACAAGCAGAAAATAAATAGAGATAAATTCTAATCTCTGATAATAAAAGAAAGTAAACCTACACACAATTTCATATGCAGACTACATCAAGAAGGCATGTAGGCATGTAAGAAGTAATTTAGATATCAGTTTTAATTGGAAATAACAATTAGAATAGTAAATTGGGTTTAATCTTAAATTAAATAAAAAAAAAAAAAAAAAATAATATTTAAATATAATTATATTTGCGTACCATATGTGATTGTTTACCAAATGACAGAGGTTTTACAATTCCCGATTTGCTAAGTTGTCTAATTGCCATTGTTGTACATCCTATATGTCATGTACGTATTATTATTCATTTTTCGTAATCGTAAATTTAATACATAAATCTTTATTTAATTACCTATAGTGATGGTATATCTAAGAGGTGTGAATATTTTATAAAGAAGATATGCTAATGCCCAATTTCCAACATCTGAGTTTTTTACCACTTCTACATATTTCTTACTAAAATGCATAAGTTCCATAACGTATGTAATATCCACACCACTGAAAAAATAGACATAACAAAGTAGTGTGATAGTGTAACTTACCATACAAACACCATATAACAGAGCTTACTTTTTAATTATAAAATAGAACGAGACCATCCAACCTATAGAAGTAATTATATGAACTGGTATTAAAACATGCCAATAGTCCTTCGTCATTTGCTTCATTTTCGCAAATACTGTTACTTTTTTTGCCGGTTCTATCTTCGGGATATTCCTTTTACTAGCGTTCAAGTTATAATATCGCGCCACCAGAATATTCTTAGTAAATTTATGTTTATATGGTATTTCGTACGCTTTAATATGATTGAAAAACGGGACATAATTGCATGACAAATTTCTATAATGTAGATGCTTTTCTGAAATTGACGATATCATCTTGTCTTGTATGTTTGAATCATTGTCAAAGTAATAACTTTACGCGTTAACCTACCGAAAAGTTTAAATCTCCAACGTCCTGAATTGGTATACCGTATAAAACGCGTTGTTTCTAAGAAATTTTTTGTCGCTAGTATAGGAGTAAATCCTAATGTAGATGCAAATCTCATGCCCCGGCAAAAAATCACATCCATTTTTTAAAGACGAGTGTTGATATTTCTAACCAACAAAGTCCTGTTGTTCGTGCTGCGAGATAATTATAATATTGATTCTTTCGATTCGCATGTTTTACGCAGATAAATTGGACAGAACAACTTACCGGATGATTTTTACGTTCTGGCGGCGTTGACTTACGTTGTTATTAATAAAAATTACATAAATATATTAGCAAAAAAAAACTCACATGTTTTCTATGTCGTATATTGTAAAAGACTGTTTGATGATCAGAACATAATCATCGACAGCTGAGCCATCTACCGAGTTACGTATCGTTAATATATAGGCGACGGCCATGTTTGCTAAGATATTTTGTCAGGGAACTTCATAAACAACTGTTGGTTATTATTTTTAACAGCAATAAGATTGATCCAGAATATTTATAAATAAATTTACAATACAAAATATTATGGGAACATTTAATATAATAACATATAAATATGCTGATTTTTGGCATCAATTGCTAGTACATATACACAAAATATAGTTATTTTTGATTATATAAACTTTGTTTTAAAGATTTCATAAGATATTTACATAATTTTTTATATATGTACAATGATATTTGAATCTGTATTTATTTGTTAACACATTAAAACTTGCGAAATAATTAAAACCAGTGGAAGAAATAATTGCGAGGTGATTTTTCGAGCGCCATTTTGGTACCAGTGAAAAAATAACGCTGAAATAAATTATAGAACAATTATAACTATATAGAATATATTAGAATATAGTCTTTTTTATTATTTTTATATTTACCTGTATCGTCGCGATTTGTAATCCATCCGACAACCGGCTCCATTTCATTTTGTCGTTTCAACCATTGATTTAAGGGCTCGAAATATCTCAATATAGCTCCAGCATCCATTCTGTTTGTTCTTCCCCTTGTCATTTGACGTACAACATCTTTCCAAGGTTTAGATGAACCCATTGATAATACATCACTAAAGAAATAAAAAAGAAATAAGATATATTTTTTAAATTTTTATCTATAGTCATATAACAATTTATCACGCACGATAATAATCTTCCAGCATCTCGTGATCTGTAAAAATCACAGGTATGTAGATCACCAGTGTGACCTGCTATTTCACATAAAGATTCGAACAATTGAAATTGTAAAACAACACCAACAAAATATCTAAAAATAAAGTCACATCAATATTGGGATTTATTAAACTGCATTATAACTGCAATAAAAATTGAATACTTGGCGTAAAGAGCATCAGCTGGTACATGATATTTTGAACCAGGATCGAAATCTCTTTCCGATCGTGGCACTGGCGGAACAATTCCTTGATATTGTAATCTTAACTCCCACCATTTGTTCGTCATATCCGCAACACCCTCGTTGAACACATACCATCTCCACTTTTAACATAATGCAAATACAAATTTTATATATCGATTTCAATAAAGATATCGTATTTGTAAATAAAATATTGCGAAACCTCATCGACTATGTAAGCAAATGGCATGTAGGCAATTTTACGAAGCGCCATTAGCATTAAAAAATTGATATCACTTCCATAATCATCCGTAGTATTGTCATGTAATTCGAGTTTACTTAAATGTTGAGGCGTGAACACTGAGAGTTCGATTGCATCGCTGACTGCCTCGAAGAATCCTAATTTACAGTCATGAAATTAATATTTATCCAATTATTGAACTTTCATTACTAGATTGATGATGTTTCTCGTCACCTGGAATTGCTTCGTTCCTAAATAATAATGGTTGATCCCGATATTGCAAATAATATTGTAATCGAGCGATTTCGTGATGAGCCGATAATAAATCTTCCATCGTAACTCTCGTACATTGTTTTATCCTGTAAAATGAAACTTCAATAAGTAAAATTGTAATATATCAATTAGTAGTGGTAAATACCTGTAATCGATTCTATTACAAAAATCCCAAGCGCTAGGAGAACACTTTACATCTCTGTCGATAGGTTTCTCAAACAAGGAAAATCTCCAGAATTCAGGAGGCATCGGTTTCATACCGAGCGAAGTAAAAAATTCCTCTGCTATTTGGAATATCCTTTAATATTTTTCAATCACTTATTTAACTTTTTCTTTTTTTTTGAAATTTATCAATTAATGATAAATTTAAATATCACTCAAATGAGTGAATAAATATTACCTTAAAGACGTGAAACTTTGAATCATCATCTCCAAAGTGACATCAAGCTTCTTACTTGCCGGAAACGGTTGCACCAGATCGTAAAGTTCTTCCCAATTTTGCGCCCACATGTTCCCCAAGATATGCGCCGGAAGTGGTCCATCCCTTCTCACTTTGTCCCCGTATCTTTCGAATAATTTTGTCCTCACATAAGTGAAGAGATTTTTGTACAAATGCATAATGGCCGACATTACATCCGCTGTGTTCTGTTGGAAATATTCTTCTTCGAAAAATTCTCTCATTTGATCACCAGCATCCTGAAATCCTAGATCGAAAGATATTCTTGAAAAGGGAAAATTTTTAGAAAAAAATATTTATATGTACACGTTTAAATATAATTTTATTCTATCACCATTTAATCTAGCAGCTTGATTCGCTAACTGAACATATCTTATATATTTAGTCTTCAATTGAGGTCCAGTGGCTTCGTGCCAAGCATGCCAATAATATAATAATTCATCATAGTTTTTCGATTTTGCCATTGCCTTATTCACATCTTAAAAAAAATGTGAATACAATTATTTGATATTTTTATATCGATTGATCTTCACTTTAAACTTGTGTAGAAACTAACCGTGATCCAAACTTAGATCGCAATTTACTTCTATAGTTCTGTAAGGACACACTCGTGTTCTCGCGTATATTTCCTTCATTTCCAATATAAGATTGTGTAACTGAAAATATTAACGATATTTTTTTAATCTTTTAATTGACTATCATAATATCTTAATATTTACCTCGTTGAATTTGTCATCAGTCAAAGAGTTTCGTCCTTTTATAGCAATCATTTTTAGTTCCCTTTGAGCGAAGGGATCTCCTATTCGACTCCAAGCAAAACTTACGGCTTTTCTCCATGAAATTCGATCAAATTTCAACTTCAAAGATTGTTCCTCTATCTACGATAGAATAGAAATAAAGAAATAACGATTTTTGGAGATTAAATTTTTATTAGAATTTTGTATTTAATTGTTAATAATTTAACCATTCTTCGACGATTCTCTTCAGTGACATTCGTCGCAAAATTCCATTGCGCTGTTATTACTCTCGTACACATCGCAGAAGCTTCATTGTCATATTCTCTAAGAAATTGCAAAGCATCTCCTAAATTCACGTTCATACCCTGAATTAAATTCAAAGAAAGATGAAAGGGATTTTAATACATTCGATCACGTTCTATTTCGTCTAATCAAACAACAATATAATAAAATTGTGCAACGCTATTTGTTAAGCGTGAAAATCATTCTCTTCTGGCCTAGATAATGCTATTATGTGATGCATGACTAATTAGAATTTTAAATACGAATTCGGCCTAATATCCTTGAGAGTATAATGAGTCTTCCTCCAACCGTGTCAAGTAGGCAAGCTTTTATCAAAGTGTATCATCTCCAAATACCGTTAATATGATTATTTATGAACGACAATGAAATAAAAAACATTTGAATTGATATTGTATTTACCTCTAAATATTTGTTGAAGCTTCCTTGCATCAGAGAGCAAACGATCAAGATACCGATTAATTTTCTTACGATCATCATCTTTACCGTCGTTCAAATGGAACCAAAAATCAATCAAATAGATAGAAAAAATCGTGGATGGTTCTCGAAATCGTTTTTCATCCTCACGGAAAATAAAATGGAATTAGAAAGTCAGGATGTTGACCAATCGATTCTTCATGCACCACTGAGCATATTATTCTTGTCATTTCACTAATGCGTCTATTTTTTTATTTTTTTTATTCTTTTTTTTAAATTATACTTTAAACAAGATTGATGAAGAAGAGATATAAATTTTCTTTTTCACAATGATCCGTTAACGCATAAAATCTAGTTTTCACTTCCTTTTATAACTGAAAACTTTTGATTTGATATGATAAATTATAATTTTTTATATCATCCCACACATATACAAGTTCATCAAATTCGATGAAGATATCTTCAACTCTTCTTTCAAATAAAGTATTATTCAAATTTTTCGGAGAAAAAATTTCGGTAAATACCGTTCACCAGTTCGATCAGCAGTTGATCGAACAATCGGTACGTCGATGTTGTCGTCGCGAAACTGAATCACCAGATTCAGAAAGAGAGACATGGTCTTCCGGGACGGATATTCCACGGGCGAAAAGAGGAAGGGACAGGCATCGTCAGTGCGTGAAGCGTGACCATCCAACATACCGTGGCACACGCCAAAATCCTCCCATCTTCAACCCGATTTTAGTTTCTTAATGCGTTTACAACAATGCATGAATGCAATTCATGGAAATGGGAAATAGATGGGAGGCTTCGTTTCTTTTGTAAAAAAAAAAAACCAGAGAACCGAAACGAGTTTTTAACGAGGGATCTTTATGAAAAAGTGAATTGAATGAAATTATTGATGATCGTTTCAATAATGGTGTTCAAAAATTGTGAATCCATTCCAATTATTCGGTAATGATAACTTTTATCTTAATCGCGAATCATTTTAGCAAAATTTATTTTGATAAAATTTTTTATTGCAAATATTTTGAAAGAAGTGTTGTTGTTAAAATGTTGAAAGATTTTACCATTGGGACAAATATAAAAAATTGAATTTCTGGATGGAAAAAATAAAATTATTAAGTCGTCGTTGCGTTTAAAAAAATCTTTTTAATATTCGTGTTTTATGGAAAGTATATATTGTCATGGAAAGTGGACGATCGTTTCAAGCTTCCTTCGTCTTCTAAACAAGCACCGTAACTCCAATTATCCGGTGGCGTAACCAGTGACGGTACTAGACCGTCGTAATTCTTTTACAGATATAATTGCATCCCTAGCTCCCAGCAAAAAAACGTTTTGCCTTCGAATAGTGGAAACGATTTTAGAAACTACAATAGGATAGGAAATAGGAAAATTAGGTAAATGTTCTAAATAAATCTACTTTTTGCCTCTTTTTTAATTTTTTTCGTTCCATAGTGTTTGCTTCTTATATTCTTCGAATATTATCTTTTCTATATTCCTACGTCTCTGCAATAATTTATAAGATTTCTCTAATTCCACGTATTCTTCTTGAAGTTTGATAAAATCTAAAATATCAGGTGCCTAAAAAAAATATGATATTACCTCATATGTAATCCCACCAATTTGTACTTATATTTTATCGGAAAGAAAAATAAGATTATGTAAATTTTTACAGTATGATTCTCCGTGAAATTCAACAATTGCGTCAATTTTTTCTGTTGCCGCTTCACTTGGCCCGCGAAAATATCATACTCAATATTTATCTCCTCGATCTGTTTCTGTTTCAACATGGTCTCCTCCTTCAACTCCTTCAATTTCACCGACAGAGAGTTCAGTTTCTGCTTGTGTTGCGTCAATTTCAAGTGGTAGTAACCTGTTACGAACAAAAAATGTACGTACCCAATCTCCGTAACAGATCATTTCTCGATCAATCACCTGCGATCTTCTTCATATCGATCACATAAAGATTCTTCTCCTCGAGCAACTTTGCTAAATCCTGATTCTCGATCTTCAATTTCTCGAAATCGATGACGTGAAGCATCTCCCCGAGCTCTTTCCTCTGTGCAAGTTGCAGTCTGGCCCTTTTGATCTGAAGCTTTACAGTGGCCGTCTTCAATCTCAGCCTCTCCAGTATCGTGCTCGCCGATTTCAGCCATTCCTCGATGAATCTTCGCGAGATTCCACGCGTAAAAAAAAAAAAAACGCATTCACAACACGTTGCAACACGTTCCGATCACACGCGCAATCACCTGGTCAGTCGTTCGGCAGGTATCTTGCCTGTCAATCGATCCACGCCCTCAGTAACCACTTCCACTTCGAAATCCTCCTTCGCCTCTTGGATCTCATTGATCCGTATTTCGATCTCGTCTATGTGAGCCTTCAAGTCCATTTTCTTCTTTCTCACATAGTTTTGCAAAAGATCCAATTTCTTCTTCAATTCCTCCACTTCCTTCTTCGCCATTACTATACGATGAGGTATCGGGATTCTGATGCGTGAAATAATGAAATAAGAAGAGATAGAAGAAATAGGTGTCGTTTAAATAAGTTCTCTAACTTTGCTCCTTCGGTCAATGTTACGACACTTGTTGTCGCTCTAAGTCGTGTTATGGATGGTGATCGGGAACCAGACACACTGGGCACGGTTGGACTTAGTCTTCCCGGATCGTGTAAATTGAAGAAACTTTCCCGAAAGCTTACATGCGATAGTGCTCTTGGCATCAAGTGCGCTGTCATTCTTCGAGTGATCTTTTCTCTCTCGAGGATAGCCTTTATCACTTGATTGGTTGACAAATTTTTTTCGTTTCGTGAATTTTATGAGATCGAGATCTGTTTAATTTCGTTGGTATTTGTTAAGGAAGAATAATTACTCTTTACCTTTTAGACTGTGGGGATCCTGACGTGACAAGTATCGTTCATAAATATCGTTCTCTAAAGTCAACATCCAGATTTGTTGCAATAGATTTTCTTGCAATTCCTGCAACTCGTCGAGGTCCATTACTATATAATGATCGAGGATTAGGTTAAAACGAGGAACGTTGGTCCATAATATTTGATTGGCACGCACCATCGTAATGTATCTCTTCCTCTATGTGCCTTTGGAGCATTCGAGATCCGATGCTGATTATACTTTCTCGTATTGACAGAGACATTGTGATTAATGATTCGTTTAAAGAAATCCGAGGAAAAAATCTGAGATGAAGATAAAATTAAGGTTAGAATTTTTATTATTTATGACCTGAATAAAACTGTAACTTTTTTTTTTTGCTGTGTTCAAGATTTTAATTGCAAAGTTTGATTCACAATTAATTAAATCATTTCAATGATTCAATTCATATTGTATAGTGATTCGTTGTATGTTATGTACAAAGTGTAATAAATTTTTACGTGAAACAATAAAAATATAATTGAATAAATGAAATAAATTCATCATATATCTGGTTATATTTCTTCATCTTCTTTTAGAAGAGCTTCTTTTTCGATCTCTATGTCATCGATGTACAAAGAATATATTATTCCAATGTCTTTTTGTCCAGAACTGTAAGTTCTAATTGTAGCTGGAATATCCCCTACCGAGAATAGAATTTCTGCGCCATCATCGGTAAATTCATTCTAAAGTAAGCAATTATTAATTATAATTTATTTTAATTATAAGAGAAATCATTTTTTTTTTTTTTTTTACCTCTGTTTCAATCTGTTCTCTATTAACCCAAACGTTCTGCGTTTGCTTATCTATAAAACGTATATTATTATTTCTTTTTTACTAATAATCTTTTTTATTTTCGAGAAGAGGAAGTATCATTACCTAACACTATTCTGTATTCTTCATTCTTAACTTTTGCCAACCAGGTTTCCAAAATTTTTGATTGCGATCTCACAAAATATTTGTAAGTCTTGCCATTTACCCACAATGTGTAAGAATATTTTAAACCTGTGTTAAAATTTATTTAAGAAATAAGATTTTAATTGAATGATACGTGTGATTAATGTAAAATATACTTACCAGGAATTGGATCGATTCTAATTACGAATTTGTTACCATTGAACATGAAGACTTCGTCTCCAACTAGATTGAACATCCAATCTCTGTGGAATATTTCTTTCCCATCTATTCTTACCAATCGACGACCTGTCGCTGTACCATGCTCGAATTCTATTACATGATTTCCATCTTTTAAAGGGACGTTCCATTTTGCCGTTGGTTCGTCTAACGCCTCCAAAGTGTGCAAACTTCTAAAAAATTTGTTTGTTCTTTAAGTTTATTTCAAGATTATTTAAGATCATATTAACGTCATTCAAAACGTTATTTAAGCTCATTTAAAATACAAAAAAAAAAATTATATATTTTTATGTCTAAAATAAAAAATAGTTTTTTTTTAAAAAGACTATTTTTATTATAGTAAAATGATTTATCAAATAATTATCATTCAACAAAATTTGCATATTATTAAAAATATACGTATTTTTGATTAGATATCATAAAATTTATTGGAATTTAAGAACATAATTTAAGAACATAATAAAGTATTATGACTGTACAGTTTGAAATGTATGACTTTTCATAAAATTAGAAATTAAATTAGCGAGGAAAATTAATTATGTCAAGGTAAATGCATAGTTCCAGTTTAGTGATCAGAATATTACATATGTGCTATATCATTGACATTATTGATCTGATTTCTGACCCCGTTTAATAGATATTACATAATATATCAACTGTACGATAGATATTACATTTCTTTAAGTAAAAAAAAAGTGCGAAAAATGATTTTTGTGCATTATTTTATTTATCTACGAATAAAAACTATTAAATAAACGAAATCCTATCGGATTTTACTCACTTTAACAGCATACCAGCCATGTTTCGTTGATACTTACGTTCAACTTGTACCTGTACTGCTGTCTTTATTGATCGAATTCACTATTTTTACGGATCGATATTCCAGTTATTTTATATCATAGTATGTTCCATCGCAACGTTGTTAACATGATTTTCATTCGTATCAATCGAATTTTTTCTTTCCACCATACATTCCAACAATAATATTATACATATATTAATATACTACATACATAATTTTTTATTCACTACCTATTTTATTCATAAATGTATACAATATACAAAAGTGAAAATGATAAGTATTTTTCAAATTAACTTCCAAAGTATAGGAAATTTAATATATTAAAAAAATCATTTCATAAGAGCAGGTAATAATTTCCCCGAACACGATCCAAATCCAATTCTGTATCCATCACCGACACAGTAACCTGTAAAACAATGCTCGATTGTCAATAATCTCGCGGTTATATACATGTTAAATTATTCAAACGAAAGTAGCGAGCATACCGCGAATAATCACTTCGTCATCATCTTGCAGGAACTTCCGGCTGGTCCCATCTTTTAACATTATGGGACGAGTGCCTTTCCAACAGAGCTCAAGCATGGAGCCAAAAGAATCAGCAGCCTGAAACGTGTAACAGGATTCGAAGTTACGTTTTTTTACCGTCTGGACATCGACGATTTAATTGAAAAGGTAATGGGCAAAATTTTAGAGACACACCTCGCCACTTATCGTACCGGAAGCCATTAAATCACCTGGATTGATATTGCATCCGGTTACGGTATGGTGAGCTAATTGTTGTTGGGGTGTCCAGTATTGGAATTTATAGTTACTGCGACAGACGGTTGTAACGGTATCGTTTGGAGCTAGAAAAAAATAATAAAAAAGTATGTCACAATTTGTTCTTTTTTTGTTTTTCTAAATAACAGTTTTTTTTTATTTATGAAACGCTTACATTTAATGTCAACTTCTAATTTAATATCAAAGTTACAAGATTCATTATGTTGTAAATAGGGGAATGGAGTTGGATCTTGGTGCACATTGGGTACTTTGAAAGGCTCTAGAGCTTCCATAGTGACTATCCATGGAGAAATGGTGGTTCCAAAATTTTTTGCACCGAAGGGTCCCAATGGAATGTATTCCCATTTTTGAATGTCTCTTGCTGTAAGTTTTTTTTTTTTAATTGACTTTTGTACTTTTCTTTTATTATTATTATTTTTATTATTAATTGTGTCAAATTTACCGCTCCAATCGTTCATGGTAACCATTCCAAAAATATGATCATAAGCTTTGGACGCTGGAACAGCGTCACCTAAATTTGTAGGTGGTCCTCCGACAAAGATAGCTACTTCTAATTCAAAGTCTAGTAATCTTGAAGGGCCAAAAACTGGATCTGCACCCTCTATCGGAACTGTTTGACCTAGAGGTCTTCTTATCGGTGTCCCAGAAACAACAACTGAACTCGCTCTTCCGTGATAAGCAACTGGTAAATGTTTCCTATGGATATATATAATCATTATTATAATTCAACGTGATTAATTTAAGGCTAATTAATTACCAATTTGGCATCAGAGCATTTTCTTTTCCACGGAACATAATGCCCACATTTGTGGCATGGTAAATCGAAGAATAAAAATCTGTGTAATCACCAATTTTTGCTGGTAGATGCATTATTGCTTCATTTTGTTTTACAAAGGTACTGAAAAAGTAGAATAACCGTATAAAATATACGATTTTGTTATTTTTCATTTTTATTGCAATTCTTATTTTACTTTGAACGAATATTGGTTTCCTGCAAGGTTGGATTACTGATTGATAACAAGTCTTGAAGTTTGTTCCTGGCTTCTATCCAAGCGGATCTTCCCAAGGCCATAAAATCGTTGAGATAATCATGACGAAATACATCTTGCTTGTTTTTTAATAATGGTCCATCGAATAGATGCGCAATAGCAGATAAATCTAAAATTTCTTCGCCTATTGCTACTCCTATTCTTTTTTGGGGCTGAAAAAGATTTGAAATTTATCTTAATACAGTATGTTACCAACATTCGATAATATGGTTTGACAGTAGGTATTATTGGTAAATTCAATTTAAAAAAATTCAAATTAAAAAAATTATCGATGATAATTTATTTATCAAACATTCCAAACAATTTTTTTAACATTCCAAACGATTTATTTTATTTGAAATTGATTAGAATATTCGCGTCTTTATAGTGTATTTTTACTATTCCAATCACTAGATGGCGCTTTACTGCACTAACAATAAGCTAAAAATATTTTAGCTACGCCGAAAAAATTATTTTTAAAATCTATCGCGTAGTATATTAGTTATTTTTCACCATTGTTACTATATCAAATGATCACAATAAAAAATATTTTTTTAAAATTTACATAACCTATAATTTTCCACGAATAATGTTACAATTTGATATATACATTATTTCATATTACTTACATTATTTTTTGTAGAAAAGACACCATAAGGAAGATTTTCAATTGGAAAATCACAATCTGAGGAATATTCCACAAAAGACTTCATGATCACAGTTATTTCACGCAACTGAATTAAATCACTGCTTTAAAACTTTCGTATACGTATATATGATAATGGTAGAGGCTTGTCAAGGTCGACTAGCCACTATGAGATAATTTATTCATCTGTTTATGAA